CAAAATGAAACTGAACTAGCAGGTCTAGAACCAACTTTTCTTATTGCACTGGAAAAACCTACAGTGTCATTCTCCTTAACCTGCACAGTACTGATGGGGAAAACCTTGTGAAATTTACTAAGTACTGACATTCAGAATATTTGTGTCCTGAAACCTTAGATTAATACTTAGGCTGGACTTCAGAGTAATCACATTGAGCCTTATTTCATCATGCTCATTAAACACAGCTCATCATAAATCCAGCCAAGGTATTTCCCAAGGTCTTTCCCAACGACTAATACAACTATGTAAAAGGATTAATACCTGCAAACAGTACACCTCTACCCAGGGGACAGTCTCTGGCCTGGGAGACAATATGACAATGGGTATGAAACAGCAAAAATCATTCAAGTGACACAAAAGTAGGGAGAAAATGTGAAGGAAATATAATTCATTTCCATAAGCAAATTGTCCGATGAAATGAAATGGAAATATCCTAATGTCACCACAGAGAGATATATTACCAACAACTTGCTATTCTCTCCAATAACTTAATATGGATTAATTTAAGGACATAGAGTAAATAGAAAATTTCCAGCAAAATATTCGAGAGTTAAGTATAAACAAATAGTATAGAAGGATAAAGGAGGAGGATGAGCTAACAAAATCAAGGCTGAACAGATGAAACATAAAGTCCAACAAACAGATTCTGAAGGAGATCCAAGCTAAGTTCTAGCATCTCTGACACAAGGAACCAAGGTTATAGGGTAACACAATCCAAATTTTATGAAAATAACAGAACTCACATTACTTTTCCTGAAGCATATCTCCTGGTAGACATGAAATTACTGATTGCTGGAACTGTATCCTTTCAACTCTATTTTTCCCACTAAGGAACAAATGATCTAACATAAAATGAACTTTGGAAATAGCTATACAAATAAATTATATATAAGAAGGGAAACAGTCCAAACAACTCAGATGTACAATTACCTACCCCTCTAGGTCACTACGATATTATCCTCATCAGTCATGAAATACAGAATGATTCACATTAAAGAAACATCCAGTTGAGCTATGAGGAAACCTTCTTCAATGGGCACTTAGTATGGAACTCACTTTTTACATTTAATTATGCTCAGTTAAGGAAATTAATTCAGTAAATCTTCTCCTGGTAACTATTTCTATTCCACATTAGCTCTTAAAATCATAGGAAAGTAGGCATTATATTAAAAAAGTTGATTTCAATGCCCAAGAGAGATGATGCCAAAAGTAGACTAGAACTGTTTCTTCTTGTCTACATCCCCCTCCTTGCTCTAAGACCACATCATCCCTTTATCAATACATACATTTAAAAAACTCCCCACTTTACTTTCTGTTAGCTTAACAAATATACCCTCAGAACTTTATCTCAAATATTGCTCTTTAAGTGCTACTCATCTCACTATGCAACAGAGGACTTCTCACTCCTGTAATCTCAAGTGGCACTTACAAAGACATGCCTCAAAATAAACTATAAATATCATGGCACGGTATCAAGCAAAGTGCTGGTAAATACTAAATAATTCAATCAACCTCTATCTAGGAATGGCTGGCTACTTTAGTGTGTAAGAGAATAGAGTCAGACTTCAGATAGGCCTAGATTCTAATCAGATATTCCATCACAAGGAAGTAACTGTAAAATACCTACAAACTTGTTATCTAACATAAAAAATTTAATAATGCTGCCGCATTCATTCATTTAGTATTTCTTAAACATCTACTGTGTAATAGGCTCTGTACAAGTTGATCGACTACAGATAACTTAAGGAAGAAAAACACACAAAATCAACTATCCTAAATGCCAACAATGTTCACGTGAAGGCATATACCATACTCACTGTGTTCCATAGTATATGCTCCATAAATACTATTCTTCCTTCTTCCTGCACATCACTTAGAACCCTAGAACTCTGGCACTTTTTTTTATCCAAGAGGTGTAGTCTCATTTTAACATGTCCTTGTTTATGTCTGTCTCACCAGGTGCCTTTGCCTTCTGTGATCCAAAGGTAAGTTTCCTTTTAGCTTTCAACAACACACAAAGTATAGAAAAAAGAAAAAAAATAAATACTCAGCGTATCCGTAAAGATAAAGGATATTTGAGGAACTGTCAAAGTGCAATACTACACCTGCCATTTCTAAGTATTCAATGCTTTCACATGTCAAGCTAAGATTTTCTGTTGAAAATCTTGAAACCTGAAAGTCTAGTGAGGCACAATGACTGGATTTCAGTGTCATCTGAAGCTCAAGTTTTGAAATCATTATGTTCAGACAAGGTCCTATGTCATCATGAACCTAGCCAAGGCCTCTGCAATATACTCTTACTTTTCATTACAAGGTTATTTTACCTGAGTGGTTTATGTTTCTGTCCTAAAAGCAGCTAATATGATTTTCAGCCTCGTTGTGACATTACTGCTTAGGATCCACATGTCAGAAAATTCAGGATCGAATTCTCTCTTCCTTTCTGAATCATCAACTAAGTGGGCAAAAGAGTATTACATGAGTCTGAAAAAGTTGCAACATACAAATATTGCATTTCAGGTTCAGATACCCTCCCAATACAAAAAAAAAACTTATGAAAATATACCTTGCTTTATTTCATAAAATTAATATACTGAGCATTATTATGTATATGGACAGGATGAAGGGAATTAGAACATAAGTATGAGTAAAACTGAACCTAGCAATATATCAGCAACTGGCTAAAACACATTTGAAAATTTCACCTCACAGAGACTATAACTAACTACTTGCTGAAATCAGTCAAGGTGATATCTGAGATAAACATACTAGGTTAAAGTGTGTTTTCACTAATCTTTGATAAGTGATTATGAAAATTTCTAGATAAGTAGGACTATTATCACATAATTATTTAAATCAGTTTCTACTTACAATATTCTATTACAAGAGCTTGTAAGAAACAAAACACCAGTATATTAATTAGAAGATTTCTATAATTTGACATCATAATATAATTAAGAACTAATGAGTTCACAAAAGCAGGAGCTTCTCAAGTAACTTCTGAAATCCTTTTAATACCCAAACCAGCTTACCTATCATATAAACACAGAACACCTCAAATACTTCATAACCTATGTTAAGGCAGCATAACTATTAAATACCAGAATTCCATTTCAAACTGTTCTGCAAACCACAATGAAAATGTATACCAAATATGATATGTCACATGAATGTATTTATGGATTCAAGAGTTAATAAACCATGTTCTAGATGAGAAGAACATTCCAGATTTGAATATCAGAATATAGGATGATTTCTAGGTAACACCAAGCATTTACTATGAAGAATGTTATGTTGATGTGTTCCTAATGGAATCCTATAGAAGCTTAGATCTATCAATATGTAACAAAAGATTCACACACCTATCTTAAACCCCACTCAACTGTATTAAAATCTATGTCTCAAGTTGTCTTCTATTATATAACTCACAAACAATCAAGGTTCTCAAAAAGTCCAGTAACTTTCGGGCATAAGATAATGGTATTATCACCAACCAAAACAGCTATTAGAAGCAGGCATCTTACAGAATCTACAGTTTTTATACTCTCCTTCAATTTCCAAAACAGGTCATCTTTAGTTAAAGAAGCATTAAAAACAGTTTTTCCTCAAATGTGCTACATGATCACTCATGCCAAAATCTCAGAGCCATCCATATCAGCAGACCTACTCAAGGAAAAATGCTTCCCTACCAAAAACAAAAAGTGCCACAATTAATATTAGCCCCAAGAGCAGACTGGGTAGAAAATAGAGGTCTTTACATACCACCCACATATATCTGAAAAAAGTGATGTCATTTGGCTACTTTATGCTCCTTACCTGAAAAGGGCCATCAATTCTGGAAACTCTGGAAGAGACCATATAAAGTTGGTGACAGCAACTATAATCACTTTGATAATTCCTTTCCTTTGTATGACTACCACTTGCAAGGACATGACCTAAAAGATGGAAAATGCAACATATATACAACCACTTTGATAAATTCAAAAGAAAAAACAAAATTATAATCAGTCTACCAGTATTTTATTATGGAGCTAACACCAACCTCTAATAGTAGTACTTGACAAGCTAACTCCTATAATCAATATGGATAATTCATTCACTGCTTTAGCAGCAAAACCTAAAAATCTCCTCCCTTTCCTCTTCTAAAAATTACTTCTTTGTTCAATAACTAACTTAAACTGGACCTAGATACTCAGGAATCCTTAACTGTTTAGCTCACAGGGTTTGTCTACTCCCCAGCACTCCCAATACATACCAAGTGATGTAGTCAGGTATAATCATAATTTGTACTTTAATGTGCCAAATGTATTTCAGGGTCTATGTTATCTTTATTATAAGTAACACAATGTATAATCTCAAATATGCAACCCCCTGCCTCCCAGTACCCAGGCTCTGCCACTCATTTAGTAATTAATAAATGAATACTTACTCACTGTTAGAGAATGTTTATTACAGTATCAGGGTCCTCTATTCTGTTCAGAGGGCACTGTAAAAGCTGATCAACTGAAGTTCCAAGTTCCATGGAAAGGAACAATTCCAAGTTCCAAATGCTTTGATTTAATGAGCATAAGTCTGATTCAGTACCACAATTTCCTAAGTATATAAATGGCCTTACAAAGAAGGCCTTTCATCCCATCCCCCTTCCCTTCAAATAATTTGCACAGTTAAGTGAGAGGCAGGAGACCATTTGTGAAGCAGCACAACCACTTAAATCCCCTGGTCATCAGTTGCCTTATTTGTAAGGGTTATTAAACAACATCAGTCAAAGCACAAAGTGAAGGTTAGGAAGCAGGAACAAGTATAACAATCATTTAATCCTAAGAATTAAAGAGAAAACAATTTGAATGAATTGCTTAATAGGATTTCCCTCATCCACAATTATCTTCAAGACCAGAAAAATCCCAGTTTTCATACTGACCTCAACACAATAGGCAAAAGAAAAGAAAATGTACAACAGTCCCTCACAGTTTAATTGCTCTATGCATTTATTATTAGCTATTATTAATGCAGAGAGGGGACAGAAAGCTCACAAACACTCTACACAATTTCACAAGACACATTGCAGGGAAAAAAGTGACTGAGATGAATAGTATCAGTATCCTAGGGTCTAGGAGGACGCATTCCAGGGGGAGGTGGACCTGAAAAGGAAACAGAAAAAGTTAGAAAAAGATCATGAAAGCATTCAGGAGCCTGGCTGACCCATTGAGCCCTATGCTTCCACTTACCTCTAATTCCTGGTGGAGGGGGTCTCATTCCTGGAGGGGGCATACCTATTGGTGTCCCTCGAGCGGGGGGAAGCCCAATTGGTGGGCCCATGGGTGGTCTCATACCAGGTGGAGGAGCCATAATGCCTACAAAAAAAAATGACAGAAATAAGGCCTCGTAAATTGACTCAGGAAAGTTGTTAGAATTTAGCCCAAATAATCCTTATAAAAATAAGCCCAGACAACAATGAAAAGGTCAAATCATTTCTCTTTGACCATTACTTCTGTATAACATCCCCAGCTCAAAATAGTCCATAGACTTTAATTAAAAATCAGTGTCTGAAAGAGAGAAACATATTCCCCAAATTCCTTGTCAGGCACTTAGGCTGTAGCTTCATTCCTTATTTTCTCAGTCAATGTCTTTTTAATCATCACTTGCTCAAGATGATATAATCTCTCACCAGAGACTCAAATTCTTCTTGTTCACTAATCCCTTACCCGGAGGTGGTGTTGCTCTGCCTACAGGTGGGGGTGGGGTCCCTCGTCCTGGTGGGTACTGGGTTGGGGCTCCAGCAATGCTGGCAGTAGCAGCAACGGCAGCAGCTGCTACAGTGCCTCTTCCCTGTGGAGTCATTACCTGAGGAGGCATAGCCATAAAAACAGTGAAAGTGAGTAACACCCTCACATTTTTCAAACACAGAAAATAAGTAGTATATATGACCCTATTAGATATGAATAATTATTGCAATTTTGCATTTCATTCAGTTTCCCATATTTAAAAAAAAAAATCTCGGCACAATACTATTTAACAAGCCCTTTTGCCTTTTCTCAGCTCTGGCATATCCATCCAAATTCTCTTTAGTTACCAAGTAAGAGTGGCAAGTTAATCTTATCAAAGTCCCTTTAGTCCCCCCAGTGACCATATGCTGCTTACGTATTATGACATGTACACTTAGGTATTTCAACATTATACTGAATGGGGAACAATTGGGAGCATTCCTGTTTAGAACACGACCAGACAAGGTTTCCCACTGTCACCACTTCTACTCAACATAGTGCTGGAAGTTCTAGCCAGAGCAATCAGGCAAGAGAAGGAAATCAAGGGTATCCAAATGGGGAAAGAAGAGGTCAACCTATTGCTCTTTTCTGACGATATGATCTTATATGTAGAAAACCCCAAAGATTCTGCCAAGAGACTGCTGGAATTGGTAAACAAATTCAGCAAAGTCAGAGGTTACACTATCAATGTACACAAATCAGTAGCATTCCTATACACCAACAGTCAAGCTGAGAATCAAATTGAAGACTCAAAACCCTTCACAATAGCAACAACAAAAAATAAAATACCTAGGAATATATTTAACAAAAGAGGTAAAAGACATCTACAGGGAGAACTACACAATACTGAGGAAATACACTTTAGAGGACATAAACAAATGAAAAAAAAATAGCACACTCATGGATCAGCAGAATCAACATTGTTAAAAGGTCTATACTACCCAGAGTGATTTACAGATTCAATGCAATCCCCATTAAAATACCAATGTCATTTTTCTCAGGTCTAGAAAAACTAATTCTACACCTCATATGGAACTAGAAAAGACCCTGTATAGCCAAAGCAACCTTAAGCAAAAAGAACAAATTGTGAGGCATCAATTTACCAGACTTCAAGCTGTACTACAAGATTATAGTAACCAAAACAGCATAGTTTTGGCACAAGAACAGAGACATAGACCAATGGATCAGAACAGAGAACCCAGATATAAAACCATCCTCACATAGATTTAAGTCTATTATCTAAGGCAGGAAACTACAAGAATTCTAGAAGAAAATGTTGGAAAAGCTGTTATAGATATCAGCCTAGGAAAAGAATTTATGAAGAAGACTCGAAAAGCAATCACAGCAACAGCAAAAATAAATGGGACCTGTTCAAACTAAAAAGCTTCTGCACAGCCAAGGAGACAATCAATAAAGCGAACAGACAACCTACAGAATGGGAGTAAATATTTGCATACTATATATCTGATATATCTGATAAGAATCTACAAAGAACTCAAGCAAATCAGCGAGAAAAAAAAAATCAAATAACTTCATTAAAAACTGAGCAAAAGACATGAACAGAAACTTTTCAAATGAAGATAGACTAATGGCCAACAAACACATCAAAAAATTGCTCAGGCTGGGCGCGGTGGCTCACGCCTGTAATCCTAGCTCTCTGGGAGGCCGAGGCGGGCGGATTGTTTGAGCTCAGGAGTTCAAAACCAGCCTGAGCAAGAGCGAGACCCCGTCTCTACTAAAAATAGAAAGAAATTAATTGGACAACTAAAAATACATAGAAAAAAAAATTAGCCGGGCATGGTGGCACATGCCTGTAGTCCCAGCTACTCAGGAGGCTGAGGCAGGAGGATTGCTTGAGCCCAGGAGTTTGAGGTTTCCCTGAGCTAGGATGATGCCACGGCACTCACTCTAGCCCGAGCAACACGGTAAGACTCTGTCTCAAAAAAAAAAAAAAAAATTGCTCAATATCTCTAATCATTGGGGGAAATGTAAATTAAAACCACAATGAGATATCACCTAACTCCAGTGAGAATGGCTCTTATCAAAAAGTCCCAAAACAACAGATGCTGGCATGGATTCAGAGAGAAAGGAACACTCACACACTGTTGGTGGGACTGCAAACTAGTACAATCTCTAGAAAGTAATATAGAGAGAACCTCAAAGAACTAAAAGTAGACCTACCATTTGATCCAGCAATCCCACTACTAGGTATTTATGCAAAGGAAAAAAAGACATTTTATAAAAATGACACTTGTACTTGAATGTTTATACCAGCACAATTCAGTTGCAAAGATGTGGAAACAACCCAAGTACTCATCAATGCATGAGTGGATTAATAAAATGTGGTATAATGTATACCATGGAGTACTACTCAACCATTAAAAATAATGGTGAACTAATATCTTTTGTTAACAACCTGGATGGAACTGGAGACCATACTTCTAAGTATCACAAGAATGGCAAAACAAACACCACAGGTACTCAATATTAAGTTGGAACTAATCGATCCACACTTAAGAGCAGATATGCAAGTAAATAAAACTCAAGAAAATTACGTAGGTGGGAGGGGAGTGGAGGAGATGGGGAAATTCACACCTAACTGGTACAAAGCACACTATCTGGATGATGGGCAGACTTACAACTTTGACTCAAATTGTACGAAAACAAATTTATGTAACCAAAATGTTTGTACCCCCATAATATTCTGAAATAAAAAAATAAATATATCTCCTTAGGCTCTAGTCACATTCTGCCAATAAAATAAAACACTCTCCTGGGTCCTCACCTGCTGAGATGGTCCCCCTACTCCTCGGACCGGGCCTGCTAATCCAGCAGGAGCCTGTGGAATTGGTACACCGGCTGGTACTCCTCTGCCAGCTGCCCTACCAACTCCAGGGCCTCCTGCAGCTCCGGCAAGTGGTACCCGAGCAATACCAGTCTGAAACAAGAAAATTTATAGCTTAAAACCAAACAATTTATCCAAGCTCTCAGTAGTTTTATTCGTCAAAGGTTACTCCTCCCCACCATTTTCCATGCCACACCTATCTCATATTATATAATAGTTCAGTATTCAAATTATTAAATAAGCAAATGTATGTAGTAGCATGGAAGTACCCTGCAGATTCCCAAAATGCCCCCCTCCATTGCCATATTGTGAGGACATATATTTTTATAGCCATACCAAGCAAAAATAAATCAGCAATTTTACCCTTATCTATGTAATGCCCAGCATATAGAATAACTCATCAAAAACCCTTAATCCCTAAAAGTACAGACAACCAAGAACCGACATCAAATGCTATACACATTTTCTTTGACAAATGTATACTATGCTGTTCCTCCATTCTGCCCTGATTTCAGACATATCGAATAATAAAAATGTCCTTCTACATTTAAGTTCTTTCCTGCCCTACATCTTCCTTACATCTTTTGGGGGTGGCCCCTCCACAGTCATGGATACCAAGTTCTCCCCACGCAGCAACACCAGACCCAAAACCCGCTTTTCTTCACGCTCTGGCTGCTTCGCATTCTTTGGCCTATAAATCAGAAGTAAATTTTAGTCACATATATTTTAGTGATCTTTAGATCACTCCCTCACCAGAATATTTATAGAACATCATGAAGTATCAATGAAGACACTAACTGATGCCATTTAAACTAGTAACTGAGTTGTGACCAAACAATAAAAATAAAAACACCTCTAGACTCATGTAACATACAAGGATAAATAGTAAAAGCTCTCTTCCTATCTAACTTCAATCTTTTTTATAATGTTCCCTTGATGTTACACCATAGCAGAACTAATTTATTTTGTAAAATGACATGTCTACACCTTTTAAGATAGTAAAAATTGAAACCTTACTTTTCATATTGGGATGGGAGATAAATTTTTTAAAAAATATTTAACTAAATAACTAAATCTTTTTTTTTTTTTTTTGAGACAGAGTCTCACTGTGTTGCCCAGGCTAGAGTGCCGTGGCATCATCCTAGCTCATGGAAACCTCAAACTCCTGGGCTCAAGCAATCCTTCTGCCTCAGCCTCCCAAGTAGCTGGGACTACAGGCATGCGCCACCATGCCCGGCTAATTTTTTCTATGTATTTTTAGTTGTCCGATTAATTTCTTTCTATTTTTAGTAGAGACGGGGTCTCACTCTTGCTCAGGCTGGTTTTGAACTCCCTGAGCTCAAACAATCCACCCGCCTCGGCCTCCCAGAGAGCTAGGATTACAGGTGTGAGCCACCGCGCCCGGCCATAAATAAGTAAATCTTAATCATGGTGGATCCAGAACTGAAATAAGGAAATAAGAACAGTAATAAGCAGAAAGGGATATGAAATGATAATCGTATCCCAACTCCTGTACCACAAGAACAATTCTCTATTAAAACCAAGATTTCTTTAGTCTAAGACTGTAACAGAAGCAAACCAATTAATAACAAGTTTCTCAATTTGTAAAATAAATATAACTTCCTATCATATTACAGTTTTATTCCTACTAAATCCATGATTGTTTTTACAAACTTCAAATAGTTTAGAAGCAAAGATTCTGACCTAATTCCAGCTCTGGCCTTCCCTTCCCACTGCTTCTACCCCCCATTACCCAAACCCAACCTGGCCTTACTTGATCTTCCTGAACTCATCACAATCACAGAGGATCAAATTCATATGCTTGTCAAAAGCCTTAAAGGTACCAATGAAGATTCGGCCATCTTGCAGGATACATCTCATTCTATAGTCAATGTGCTGCAGCATCTTGCTACTCTTGCCCACAGTCTGGAAGTAGTAAGATGAGAGTCAATGATAAGCTTGTCTGCAGCCTCCTCTTCTAAACTCCTCCCATTTTGTACCCACTCCTATACCAATCCAAATCTGGTTTCCGTAACTAAACAAATCTCCTCTCCTTTTATCCAACATTCCTCCAAACTTAACTCAAATACTGGACCAAATTTGGACCCAGAAACACTATACTTCTCTAAATGTGAAACTCTGTACTTCTCAAAACCCTGGGCAGTATTCCCATCACGATAAAAAATTAAAATTCCTCCCAAATAGTGATCCCTGAGCTCAGTTCCCTTTTAGATCTGTAATTTTAATCCCCGTCTTTTCCTTTCCCAATTCTAATCCTAAATCCCACTTTCTAATCCACTTGACCATGTGGACTATTTTATTTTACCCCTGGACAAATTCCTACATCCCTTAAAATCTTTACAACTCTTGTCAACTCAATAGAAGTAGAACACACTAATTCTTAGTTCTCCTAAGGACTGTCAGTTCCATCATACCCACAACCCTATTACTCAGAACTTTGGATCAGTTTTTCTCTACCTTCTTCCTCTTTCATTTGTTCCCCTTAGGCATCATTCTAGATTTTTATCCTAATCACCCATACTTATGAAATTTTAATATGCATCCATGATGTGTCTTTTTATATAATGTGACCCTTTAAAGGTCCACAAAGCATTATAAAGCCTAAGATGTTTTCTTCACATCTCAAGAACCAATTTTCACCCTTGTGGGAGCATTTATCCTTCTCTTTGGGAAAGCATGCCCTAGATCAGTAGTCCTCAACCTTTTTGACACCAGGAACTGTTTTCTTGGAAGACATTTGTTCCTCTGACCGGGAAGGGACGGTTTCAGGATGATCCAAGCACATTACATTTATTGTGTACTTTACTTCTATTATTATTACATTGTTATAATGAAATAATTATATAACTCACCATAGGATGGGGACCTCTGCTAGATTAACCACTCTTCTTACTCAACTAAACTTAAACCAAATAATCTCTATTTAGGATGCTATCTCTCTCTCCAGACTGTTTTCCTACTCAAGCCCGAACCCCTCAATTTTCAAAGTGGTCATTGGGTCTCCCATCTGCAGGATGGTCCCTTGCAACTATAATAATGACTAAAAACTCCTTCTGTAATTTCTCACATCATAAAACATCTTTCAGGATGGTTTCCAAACCTCTCTTAACAGCGCACCAGACATTGCTTATCCTCAGTTGTTACTCAATACAGTGAGAATCCATCTCCACAAATATATCCTTATTTCTAACATTCAGAACTCAAAATCACCCCACATACTGGCTAAATATTCTTTTGGACCTTTACAGCAGTTTCCCACCCCTCTGCCTTAATGTACATCTTACCATGATTGCTGTTCCACCAAATCTGATGTCCACAGTTAAAATTTCTTGATCTTTAAGACCTAAGGGAAGGCTATAGATAAAGGTATGACGCAGATTCTCCTAGAAACAATGCAAGCTGGACAGAAGCTTCAAACAGTAGAGGGAGCCTGCAGAGGAAAGCATGTTATAGCTGCACTGCAATCTACCATGTTTTAAAACAGGCAGACAATGTGGCACAAAAAGCACAACAGACATGTTTATAAACATCCTTCCTTTCATGTCCCCATACCCACACCAAACATATCCCAAATTTTACTAGTCCCTCATCTTAACTCCCACATTTGACACACCTAGGATTGATGAAATTTATTATATTTCATTTTACCTAGTAATTCTTAAGTGTTTCAAAAAATATCAAAAAATAAGTTTCACTTCCCAAAATTTAATATCTTCCTTTCCATTCTTATTTAAGGTAGTGCTTAACTTCCTCAAAGTTAATACCAATTCATCTCTACACCAACACCTCAATTACTCCTTACTTCAAACTTTTTCCTTTTTGGCTAAACCATTTAAATATTTCCAACTGTAATGTTTTCTTTCTTCCCCCTAAAGCCCCTTCAAAATGTTGCTAAGTAATCTTTCCTCACCAAGAACCAATTGTATTATAAACCTGCTTAAGAATTCCTATATCAGAAGAGAACACACAACTACTAAACATATATACAGGCATTTACACTAGTCTTGCATTGCTTAACAATGGGGATACACTATAAGAAATGTGTTAGGTGTTTTAGTCATTGTGTGCACATCAGTGTACTTGCACAAACCTAGGTAGAACAACTTATTACACACCTGGGCTATATGGCATATGTGTGTGTGTGTGTATTTATGTGTGTGTGTGTATATATATATATAAATTGTTCCTAGGCTACAAAGCTGTACAGCATGTTACTGTACTGAATACTGTAGACAACTATAACATAATGGTATTTGTGTATCTGAACATATCTAAACACAGAAAAGGCACAACAAAGATATGATACTATAATCTTTTTTCTCCTGTCCTGAAATAATGCAAGCAGATATAATAATCTTATGGGATCACCATTATATATGTGGCCTGTCATTGACTGAAAAATTGTTATGCAACAAGAGACTATAATCAAACATGCATAGTAACAATAAGCTTTCATTTTCCCTATTACTTTTTAAAAATGCTAATTATAGCAACCAAATGTAGATAGAATTGTTAAGGGCCTCAAAGTACTGATCATATTAATTAAAAACTGAAACATGAATTACATTAGTTTTGAACAGGAATTTGTATTTAGGAATAAAAGGAGTAATTTTAAAAACTGATGTAATCACACATTTAATAATGGAAAAATTTCCAATAAGCTTTTTCTCCACTGTTTCTAATAGAGAAAATTTGTAAACAGCAAAGTAAACTGTTTAGGCAAATTCTGAATTATCTACTTCAACATATGAAAATGAAATCAATAAAATAATGGTTATGACCTACAGGTTCATCAAAACAATAAAATGAAAGAAAGTTTTCAGATACTGTATCCATGTGGAACTGTATGTCACTTGACTAAAAGAGAACAAAATGGTACAAAAGTATTACAACAGTTTATTCGGTAAAGGTATAAGATGTAGAATAGATGTTTCCCTGTCATTCCCAAAATTTGATAGCAGTTGAACACATTTTATGAGAACTTGGAAGGTAGCAGATTGTATTAAAACATTCCTGATCATTACTCAGCATATCTCCCAACCTTCGTTTTCTACATGAGAACTGCCACGCATCTTTTGTGCAGCTTTTCCCTGGAGACAATCTAACCATGTCCTCAATACCACAGTCCTTTAACATTAGTAATAACTGACTCTAGTATTTAAATAATGCTTTTAAGAGCACAAGAATGACACTGGGGATACAATGCCTAGAATCCAATGGCCACAGATCCTATGTTCGTATACATAAAGATTTCAGCAAAACTCCAAATAAACAGACCACCTCCTTCCCATATAAATGCAATTTCTGACCCAAACTAAAATGACTAAGTTCAAAGCCAGTAACTTAGGTTATAAACATTCATAGGGTTTTTTATATAGCAGTATAAATGCTTAGTTTGCATGTGCCTCATTGGCAATTTCCCTTTTTATATCATTGTATCTATTAGGACTTGGGACTTTCAGCTATTCATAGGGACAAAGCAGATCAGCTGCAGCCTAGAAATAGTGAGTGACTGTAAATGAGCATGAGAGATCTTACTGGGGCCATACAAATGTTCTCAGAATAGCTTGTGGCAATGATTGCAGTTATGTAAATTTATTTAAATGACTGATTCATGTACTTCAAATTGGTGGATTTCATGGCATGACAACTATAAATCAATAACACTGTTTTTAAAGAGTAAAAAGTCAGGAACTTCAAATAACGTGCAGAGTTCTCAAGATGGTTTTTATATTGCCATTGGTGGAGAAAAATGAACAAAAAACAAGGCAAGCTCTGCTTCATACTGAGCAAAGCACATGGCATTTAAAAATTAACAGAACTGGCTGGGCACGGTGGCTCATGTCTACAATCCTAGCACTCTGGGAGGCGAAGGCAGGAAGATTGTTTGAGCTCAGGAGTTCTAGATCAGACTGAGCAACATGACAAAGACCACATCTCTACAAAAAATAGAAAAATTAGGCAGGAGTGGTGATGCGTGCCTGTAGTCCTAGCTGCATAGCTGGGGAAGCTGGGGCAGAAGGATTGCTTGAACCCAAGAGTTTGAGGTTTCAGTGAGCTATGATGATGCCACTACCCTCCAGCGTGGGTCACAGAACGAGACCCTGTCTTAAAAAAAATAGGAAAACTGCATTTATAAACTTCTTTCTAGAAAGTTTGATCAGTTTAAAGTTCAGAGACAAAGCTTTTACCTTCAGGTACCAAAAGATTTGAGAGTACAGATTTCCCCATCTAGCCTCGGTTTCAAATGTTCTACACCATTAGATATTTAGGTGAACACACACCTATCAGTCCTGGTGCCTAAATTTTTGATGTAGGAATCCAACAGATCTATACAAGATATCCTTGTATGGGATTAGAGTAAAAAGCGAAGGACGCTCACTGTCCTGTGTCTGTCCACCATCCAAACTATTTGAGGCTCACCAATCCGCCCCATTATCCACTACATGTTTTTTTATCCAGTGATTAAGTATGAAAACATATCTGGGGATTTGAGTCATGGCCTAAAGAACTGAAGACCTAGAAGTGGGGCATGAGTATGTTATATATATATATATACACAAATATATATTATGTATATATATATATATATATACATAATATATACATAAAATAATCTGTATAAATAGAAGAGACATGTTTCACTCAGAACTTCAAATAAGGGTTGACTGCCTGGAGAGGTTAAAAGAGGATTCCCTTGAGACAGATTTGAAATTTAGAAAGTTTTCTCTCATCGCTAATTTTAGCATGCCATAATCATGAAGCCTTCTGAGGGAAAGCAGAAAACAAATCACTTTGTAGGATGTTAAAAATTATCACTACAGCACAAGAGAATAAAATGCTTCCTGAGAAACAGGACAGGAAGAGCTGCAACATCACACAGCACTGATGGATGAGCACTCATGGTGTATCTTCTCAAAGGCCACATAAGCAAATAAATGATCTGAGATCTCTTACATAAGCAAGTAAATTCTCAAATTTTAGTAAAGTGTGGACTTTCAAATGGTTAAATAGCATAAAAATGTAAACCTACTTTACATCAAAAGTAAAATAAGCAGACTTGGTCAAGGCACTTACAACAAATGAGAGATCATGGAATAATAGTATTGCATTAATGTTCATTCAAATCTGTTAAAATTTAAAATGCTCCATAAAAACCCTCCATAGGAAAATATGCAAAAATGATTAGCAATTAAGTAACAGGAGAAAACTAAATGGAAAATATTAATCCAAAACACAATGCCAATTAAAACCACTAGAAAAAATTTTTCCTTTAATGGAAATGTTTAACCAAAACGAAAAAGAACACAAGGGATAGTACTGAAAAACTAATGATCTATTCATTTTTAATAGCAATCAACACTTCTTGTGATGCTTATAGAAAGTTATATAACAAAATATCTAAGAGTCGCCCGGGCACTGTGGCTCACGCCTGTAATCCTAGCACTCTAGGAGGATAGCTTGAGCTCAGGAATTTGACACCAGCCTGAGCAAGAGTGAGAACCTGTCTCTACCAACAAGAAAAAGAAAAAGGAAAAAAAATACACAAAACAACAAAATATCTAAGAATTATACTAATATGTATACCCTGCATCCCAAATGGGTTAAGTATCCAATGAGATATTTATCTTACTAAATTTTTAGGTAACAAATAAAAATAGAACATTCATAACATAATGGTATATATTTCCATTTTTCCTGGCTCTCATGTGCTTTAAAATTTAATAATGAAAGAAGAACGGTATCAATTGTTAAAACATCTTTAAAAACTACCCATCTAACTGTATATCAGACTTTAACATGATTCTTACACCTCTCCCTTACTCCATAAATTCATCTGGTTGTCTATCCTGTAATAGGATAGTGTATACTTTATATATATACACTTCTTCTGTAACCTTTTTTTCACTACTTTCTGTAGCATCACCTCCACCCCCATTGGTCCCACCTTGATGTTTCTACTTTGAAACAGATTCTCTAAAACAAAGGCAGCCAACCTTTTCTTTAAAGGTGCAAGGTATTAAATCTATGCCTCTCATCTTATCTGTCACAATTACTCAAAGCTGCCACTGGAGCACAAATGCAGCAATAGACCACACATAAATAAATGAACATGGTTGTGTTCCAATAAAATTTTATTTACGAAAACAAGTATTGGGCCAATTACTCTACCAACCCCTGCTCTAAAGAAATCCTAGTAACTAGTACTATTTAGGTATAACTAGCAATTGAGACTAGAATAATTCATAATTTAAATATAAGAAATTCAGATGATCCTACTTACAGATAATTTATAATCTAAATACTATTTTACTTAGAAATTTTTAAGACTTTGAACTGAATTGCGAAGCCAAAACATTTCTGGGTTAAAAAAATCAATTATGCACACCTATTCATTGACAAATGCCCTTACTCTGGGGAACAGCTAGAGACAATGATCCACTTGCAACCAAGTCCATGCAATTACCAGAGAAAACTGAGTATAAAGGGCTCAAAAAGGGAGTATTTCTCAGAAAATTTCTGTTTTTCTTCTTCGATTTAAACTCAAAATGGTGACCTAATTAATTCAAGTTAAGAGGTGGTAATATTTCAAAAAGGGAAATAAAGAAAATCTATAAGATAACTCATCCATAAAACCTCTTCCTCTCTCATTTTCTAAAAAGGTATATAATAAACCTTCAAGAATTAGGGCGTTATAATCTTAAAAAAGGAAAAATTATGGAAAAACACGAAGTACTAAATCAAAATCAACTTTGCACTGACTTTTTCCTAAAAAATGAAAACAATCAACATAAAAAGACAGACTAAATAAATCTACATCACATTGAAAAATTATGGATAGTATCTTTATTACATTGCTGATTCAAATGGAAATACATTGGTAAAACAGAAAAGTGAGAAAAAGACAAAACAATAAAAAGGAATTAGTAAATAAGCATGAGAAATATTTAGATTCTCTAACACTCACTGCTAATGAATGTGATGTATATTTATAATTCGTAGGCATAAATGATATTCTAATTGAAATAATGAATGTTGGTGAAAGTGTATTATAATTGGCACATTATTTTTTGAAGGCAATGAAAACTAATACAATACTTTGCAATTCAATTTAGAAAATGTATTTTGAATCCATTTACTTTCACACATGCATATCTGAGAAAATTATCCTGTCAAACATTTTATGCAAAACTATTCGCTGAATCTTTGTTCAAACTACCAGCAGGGAAAAAAAAAAAAAATCAAGTCTCCCACAAAGGCAAATTATAAAACATTCACTACCATGATATTCAACATTTATATGAAATATTTTTTACCTCATATAAAAGTGAAAATCAATGTAAAATAAAATAACAATAAAACTACCTAAAATGCATGAACTACAAAATTTGGACGCAATACAGAAACATGAGAAAAGTGTCAGAGCAGGAAAATTAAGGACCTGCTTTTACTTTTTTTAATTTTATGCAATGTGCTTATTGCATGAAACTTTTAAGGATAAAGAATGTAATGTGCCCCTGATAATTAAGTAAGCCCCAAACACCCTATTCTGTAATGGTTTCTTTGTTTTTGATCATTACTTCATCAGCTCTAACCTGGTTTTTGCTTGGAATCAGCTTCCTTGCTGTTCCAGTACTGCTTTAACCACCTCTTGGCGTCTCAGCTAAGAATGCCTGTCTCAGTTCAGCCTGGAAATCCACCACAGGTGCTTGCTGCTGCTGAGAACGCCTCCGGTACAACTGACACCTAGGACAAGAGCACAATATATACAAATTGATAAACAGACATTTGTGTATATAGGTAACCTGATGAAAGAAAACAAAGAGACCCTTACATTTAAGAAGATCCTCCTTTAGGATCAGAGTATGTCATCACCTTATGTGGAAACAATACAACAAAACAGGAGTCTTTGTACACAGATATGCAAGGAACTAGTGGACATTTACCATTTCTAAACAACTAAAAACCCAAGAGCTATTAGCCCTACAGAAACATTATCAGTATCATATACACTCACTCACTTTACAAATATCCTATGTGAAACAGTCCTTTCTCCCTTGGGGTTGGGGAAGGGATTTGCTAAAGCTTTTTCAGTGAGATGTTAAGGCTGTCATTCATACTGATCTCCTGAAAAGTAACTACCTGAATCAAGGAACTTCCAGGGCCAAGGCTGTTTAAGGACTCTGAAACTATGTAAACCAACCAACTATTAGTAACAGGGAATTCAAGAGACAAGCCCTCAACATATACCTATGAATCAGTAACCCGGATGTAAAATCTGATCATGAACATGAAGAGATAAAGGAAACTGCATTTACTTGGGGTGGGGGTGGTATCACTAACAATTCTGCCCTTATTGACAAATAAGGACTTAGAAATGGGACCCTCTTCTGCAGTTATTCAAAAACACTTTTACCATGCTTTTGTATAATAAAGAATTAATCTAGCTGGCCTTTGTCTCTGGTTCCTAGAATGTAATTGGTAAATACTCGGAATTTACCAAGTGATAGGAGTGTTTTAGTTATTCAAGGTAGGTCCCTAGGATCACACCTGAATTTATGCTAATGAGATGGCTCAGAATAGGCTACAAAAACTGCAGAAGACTAAAGAGTAAAGGGTTAGGGCTCTCAGCCAGATCTCCTGAGAAGGGATGGGAGCTAGATGAGTTCAATCGCATGGCCAATGATTCAATCATGTCTACATAATGAAACCAGAACAAAAATCCTGGACATCCAAAGCTCTGGTGAGCTTCTTGGTTGGTGATAGCCACTGATGTGCAGGTAATGCACATGAGCACAGGGACACTTGGAACCCTCCCAGACCTTGCTTTATGAGTCTGTTCATCTGTATCCTTTATAATAAAACTAACAAGTATAACCACTTTCTTGAGTTCTGTGAGTCAGTCATTTTAACAAATTATAAAACCTAAGAGGGTCACAGGAACCCCAGAATCTATAACCAGCTAGTCAGAAGTGTGGGTGGCACGGGAACCCTGGAGCTTGCATTTAGTGTCTGAACCGAGGAGAATCTTATGGAGAGACTATGCACTTAATCTGTGAAATCTGCGCTAACTCCAAGTAGTTAGCATCATAATTGCATTACACATACCTTTGAATCTTCATACTCCTTAATGAAAAATAAAATTTTAGTTTGGGCATTCTCCATTCCAACCTCTTTGTTAGCGAATGGCCACTTTCTCTAATCTAATAAAATCCTAAAAAGTGTTTCAAAGAAAAAGTCTGCTTCTTGAAACTTGTCTTAATAGAATTTCCTATTGCAGTATCCCTCTTGGATTTAACCTACAACCCAACAGAAGACTAAGAAAAGACTGAGAAAATAAGATGCACCCTATACACAATTTAATAAATAAAATGCAGAATGTTGATTTGGAAAGACATTTGAATGTGTGCATAAAATAAATTAAGAAGACTCTACAGACCCATTTTCTAATTTCCCTTCAAACCCACAATACATCAAAAAACAGGGGTGACATCCGGCCATCAATTCCAGGAGTAGAAAAAAAAAATCAATGAAAAAATCAATCAATAAATGAATTTCAATTAATATTCATTGTTGGTGTGTAGAATATTTTGCTTGCATCTCATGTTGACTTTTATTTAATTTGCTTTGAATTTTCTGGAAAGAATACTAACGATAATCCTTTATTTATCATTTGGACCAGTACTATCCACACAACTCCTCCAGTAAGATTGACTCCCAGTACTTATGGTCTGGGAGAAGGTGGGAGATAAATGGATAAACACTAAACACTCATAGTAAAACATAAATAATGTAACTAGTAAGTATCCCAATTTTGACAATTCTGAGCACATGAACCATGTGGCAGGGTCTGTCAATCCTGGATACCTGTTTCTATAATGCACCTTCTCTCAAAATGAACAGGCAGGAGTGGGGAAATTATACTATATCCCTAACTCAACACTCCCCTCAGATCTTTCCACCAATTCAAGACCTTGCTATTTATACACAATGTATATATAGTGGAGGTCAGAAAAATTCAAGTTATTTATTCTTCAAAAGTATCTAAATGTTTCCATAGATATGGACAAGACAGACACCTAAAGAAGGCTTACCTCATCCCCAAACAAGATGAGGATGACATCACCTGTTGTTTTTAGTCCACACTGATGCTGTATAGGATGAAAGCTCTTAACAAAATACGATAAATATGATGGAAACTTCACCCACTAACACGATCTTCCCCTGAGAGATATACCCCAACCCTACCTCCACCACAATCTCCAAACTATCCCTCTGGGAATACCAATGGCACTTTTAAAAACCTTGGAGCTGGGTGCGATGACTCATGGCAAGCTGAAATAGGAGGGTCGCTTGGGCCCAGGAGTTGGTGGTTACAATGAGCTATGACAGGGCCACTGTACTCCAGCCTTGGCAACAGAGCAAGACCTTGTCTCCAAAAATTTAATTAAGTAATTAAGTTAAAACCTTGGAGTTTCAAAAGACTGAAAGGAGAAAAAGATATTATAATACCATAGCAAATACAATGCATAATAAAATAGCATATTATAAAAAACAAATTATATTACCCAAAATATCCATAAAATACTTATCAATAAAACAGATAAATAAATGATATAAAGAAAACATTTATAAAATGTCCCTTTCAAAGCAATTCTGAAAATGTAATTAAATAATAACACCAAGAGTTTACAAAGAAAAACTAAACAAGGAAAAATCTTTACCCTCATCAGTAATTTAAAATGTGCCGGTATTTTACCATTTTTTCACATATAAAAAACAAGACTAGAAATGCTACCCACTTTGCAATGAGGAAAAAACTTGAAATATGCAAAAGTGAAATAATTAGTATCAACACACTGCAATTTCAAGGTGACCATTCTTATCTTTATTGTTAATAGCTGAGAAATGCAAACAAACTTAATATCCAACAGTGGGCTAATGATTAAAATAATTATGTTATTATACCACCCATATTCTGTAATCTATAAAATAAAGTAAAATTATATGAACTAATAGGGAAATATCCCCCATATCACATATCGTTACAATGCATACAGCATACAGCACAGTGTCATATATGCAAATAAATCTCAAATGTGTCTCACCTTCTTCCTTTCTCTCTCCCCCTACCAGAGACAGACACGCACACACTCACACACACACACTAACACACAGGAGAAAGCATAGGACAAGTCTGAAAAGGTAGAGACCAAAGTACTTAGGAATTATGTCTGGAGAGGAAAAGGGAATTAATTGATGGTAGCTTCAAGAAGAGATTAACCTTTCATGTAAAAATAGGTGTTTTACAAGAGATCATATTCAAGCATTGTTAATACTTGTATTTTTTTTAGAAATAACATAATGAAATAACCGTAGGAAAGAAAAAAATGCCACCTACTTACTGATTCTGTCAAAATTTTGGTGATAATGAAAAAATACCAAAGATTCAATGTACACTCAATATGTATCATGTCATTAAAAATGTTCATATATTTTTAATTAAAATTGCCCTTCTAGAAACCTAAATTAAAATTTTTGTGTCTGTGTGTGTCTGTTTCCACACATCTATCATCCTGGGTGACAGGTATATATCTCCTAAATACAGAGGAAAAACTACATATACTTTAAATTTTTAACTGGATAAATGTACTAACCAAAAATAAAAGCCTAAATATTTCAGAGCAAGAATGAGTACGTAAATTAATATTATTTCAATGCACAGAACATTGTGCAAGTATACAAAGTGATTAATAGCAGAAATAACTTAAGTATGCATATGTTGAAGGATAAATATAGAATTTTATAAAGATAAAAACCCACTTACACATGTATGTGAGAAAAGACAAAAATACTAGTATTTTAAGAGTTTGAGTTACATTAGAACAACACAAACAAGGATTTCATTGCTTTTTTCCTGTGTCTTTTTTATTATATACATGTGATCTTCAATTAATTAAGTCCATTTTAATCCCCTCATTGCATGATACTTTGTCCCAACTGAAACAGTTTCTGACCTGAACTGGTCCTCAACTCAAACTATACTCACTCTTGGTTGCTCAGTGAGGCTGTCCTTCTGCGTTTGACTTGAACTTCCACCTCTGGCACGTGCTGTTCTGTAGTCCGTCTCAGGTGTAAGCGATCCCTGAAACAGAAAGATTTGGTTTATAGACTTCATCAAAATATGAAACAACTATCTGTGTAAAGGTTATATTTATATTTAATATAATGGTCTTTAAAAGTATCTACAATCTAATTAAAACAAGTTATAATTAAAACATTAGAAGATCTTTATCTTCCAGTCAGGATCTATGCTACAACCACTTTTTCCTTTTAAGAGCCCATCACAGATACATACATACACACACAAACACATACACAACATACCACCACTGCCTACTCACCCTTCCCCCTAAAAGTAGCAAAGCTGATTCTAAAAATGATTTCGGAAAATATTTTTTACAATATAATAGAGAGATGCTTTTGTACAGTAGAATGGTAGAACATAAAGTTTAAATTACAAAATATCTACTTTAAAAACCTCATGAAAATGCTTTCTTACAATTTCCAAAAGAAAAAAATCCGAGGATTGCTTAGGTGAAAAACTATCAACTTAGCAAAAACATATATTAATATATATATATATACAAGTACACACACACAAACACACATACCACCCACCAGGTTATGATCTGCAAAACACCTCACAAAATGGCTGCTCAAAGGATCTGAGCATGAACCACCCCCACAACTTGGGCTGGCCATGTCAGAGTCTGCAGAAATCACTTAAACCTACAATTTAAAAATGCTAAGTCAGAAAGAAAAAAAAGGCTTTCAGAAAAGTGATGCAAGTAATATTTCAAAGGCAGAATTAAAAGGACACATTCCAAAAGCTAATTCTTTGAACTCTAGCTATTTTAAAGCCATGTTAGGTTAAGATTGGTAAAATAGCTTACTAATAACTCACAATTGCTTTATTCCTTCAAGAATTTAAATGTTCTAATCAAGTCATATAAAATGATTTAAAAATCAAATATATATATATTAAATTAATGATAAAATTGTATACATTGTTATTTTTGTGACCTTTGATGAGGCAATGGTTTCTTAAATATGACACCTAAAGTACAAGTAGTGTAAGAAATAAATGGATAAGCTGGATCTCATCAAAAGTAAAAACAAAGTCCTTGCTCCAAAAGACACTAAGAAAGTGAAGACAACTAGCAGAATAGGAGAAAATATTTTCAAACCATATAGTCTTAACATCCAAAACAATCAAAAAGTAACTACAAAAAAAGGGAGAGGAAAGAAACTTTTGGAGGTGATGGATAAGTTTATGTCACTTACTGTGATAATGGTTCCAAGGGTCTATACTTCTCTCCTAACACAATTTGTAACATTAAGTACATACAGCTTTTTGTATGTAAATCATACCTCAATAAAGTTTTTTTTTAAAGTCTTGTATTTAAAACATGTAAAGAACTCTTACAATTCAACAATAAAAAGATAATACCTATTTTAAAAATGGGTAAAGGAATACCCAGTTCTCCAGCCATATACAAATGGCCAGACAGCACATGAAAAGATGCTCAATATCATTAGTCATTAGAGAAATACAAATCAAAACCACAGTAAGATACTATCTGACACCACAGAAGTTGGGGAGGATGTGGACAAACTGCTAGTGGGAATGTAAAATGGTAATAGCTTCCAGCACTTCTTAAAAATGTTAACTACGAATTTAACACATGACCCAGCAATTCCACTCCCAGATGGAGTGATATTAAAATACATAAACTTGTACATGTCCCTAGAAGCATTATTCATAATTCCCCCAAAGTGGGAATAACTCAAATGTCTATTAAATGATAAATGGATAAAATATGTTATAGTATGGTATATCCATACAAAGGAAAAGTCATTCAGACATAAAAAGAAATGAAGTACTGATTCATGCTATACATAATGGTGAATACATATAGTTGATAACATAATAATTATATTAATTTAATACAATAAAAAGAGCTATCAAGATCATAATTAATCTAATATTGCATAATCGCAAACACTACCAAAAAAAAAAAATCCTCAGTTGCTTTACCCCTTCAGCAGCAGTAGCTCAGGATGAAAGGTCAGAGTACAGTTAAGAAAACAGCCAACATACAAAAATTTATTAGTTCAATTTTCTGAATCTACTTATTCTTAAACTACATAGAAAAATCATCTATGAGCCTTTTTATCAAAACATTGAAGTTTCCTGAATGTTCTTGATACATTCACATTCCCACACTTATTTATAATCTTACTAGCTGCATTCCCAACCCAGAGACCAACATTTCAGAAAATTAAGCATTTAAGGGGAAAAATTTAGTTAATATGTACACAATGTTAATTTTTTGCTCTAATATCACTTTTATGAAAAGGTATAATAACCTGGGAATACACTGAAAAGCAGAAAACAATAGGATACTACATTTTTATTCCTAACTGCCTTTCTATAAAGTAATATGCTTTATATCAAAAAACAACTTAATAAAAATTGAACTAATATGTTAGAAATTAAAATTATTTTTAAAAAACCAAAAAGTTAATATAAGATACTGCAAGTCTACACCCCAAAAATGTAAGAAAAATCAGTGCCTCCTAAACAAAACCTGGGGAGAATCACCAAAAATAGAATTCTGGATGGGTGCAATGGCTCATGCCCATAATCCTAGCATTCGGGGTGTAAGCCAAGGTGGGAGGACTGCTGGAAGCCAGGAGTTCGAGCCCAGCCTGAGGAACACAGTGAGACCCTGTAGACTCTGTCTCTTAAAAAAAAAAATAGAAAAATTAGCCTGGCATAATGGAGTATGCCAGTATTCTTAGCTACTTGTGAGCCTGACCCAGGAGGATCACTTTAGACCAGGAGTTCAAGTCCGGTCCAGCCTAGGGCAACATAGAGAGATCCCATCTCTTGAAAAAAGAAAAAGAAAAAGAAATAAAGAATAATTGAGTCAAACTGCCTTAACCAGTAACAACTTTCATTCAAGCTTTCTGGCTCTGGGCCACAAAGTAGAGGAGAGAGATAGGACCAGTGATAGTCCTACAGGGAGCAAAGAAGATTTTTAAAAACCTCACCATCTCAGTTGTGTGAAGGGCAGCACTCATAACCTGCTTACTTCAAGGATTCTTCCTAATAATAGCTATATGAACAGAGTGCAGTGACAAATATAAGAAATTAACTTAGAAGCTTTAACATCTTAAAAGTGAAATTTGCTGGAACGCTTTAAAAAATTATTCATTAGTAAAAGGAAGAGGGTAAGAGAGAAAGATGCAGAATAACCATAAGTGGGGGAAATATTTCAGCAATAAAACAATTGTCAGAATAGGGCAATCAAGATAAAGCAAAATAAATTATGTGAATACACCCAAACCAGATACCACCCTGCCTCAGGGAACAACAGAAAGGTCCTTCCTTCCTCGCTCTAAATCATAGGAAGGGCTTATACTCCCCATTTTCAAAAAGCCCTAGTACTGAGCCAGTTCACAGGGTAGGACAGAGACCCTGAAACTTCATGAGGCGTTTCCAAAGGGATCAGCCATATTGGGATCCTGAGCCTGAGTGAAAATCTACAAAATGGCGGACCAGGATAAATAATCAGCTTGCAAATAGCCAAATAATCAGAAGTTAAACCAAATATATGTCCCTTTATACAAGAAAGGACAAAAATGGGTAAGTGATAAACATCACACAAAATCCCAGACTCCTTTTATTTTTGAAACTACACGGAAAGAGACAATTCCAGAGCAAAGTTTTTCAAGCTTCTTAGATTTACCTTTCCATTAATTACAACTCAGCACAACCAGACATAATGGTTATAAGAGAAAAAATGTAAAAATAAAAAGGCAAACATTAAAATCCTGCAAAGGAAAACAAAATTCTTAACGTAAAATTCTTAGGGAAAAAAGTATTGGAATACAGAAATTCAGCTACTTCATTCACTATCCTTTCTCACCAAGCTTCATGGTAGCTCCAACTTTATAAATGATCAAAAGCATTAATTTAAAAATTCAACTAAAGGCAGTAACTCCGACCCCAGCCCAATAGGATTCTCCCCACAATTTTGATTATCTTTTTTTCTCTTTATTAGACAAATGGAAATTACTGCTTTCAGCTCCTGGAAGTCCAGCAGGGTCCAGTGTTTTGCATACCCCTTCACCATGGCAGGATGGTAACCTGATCCCCTCACCCCTTGTTTAAGGACAGCATCTATGTGGTGGGCCCAAATGGAATATCCCAAGATTAAGAAGGGTAATTGGCTCTCAATGGTGACGTAAATGTTAATTTATCAAATCTACAAAGTGAGAATCAAAGGCAACAGAAAGAAGAGTTAAATAACGGGTTACTGATTCCATTCTGAAAATGGAAAAATAAATTATGCACAATACAACCAAGGGGGAATCTAGAAAAACAAAAATATAGGATTTTCTAGAGAGCCAGAAAACAAATTTAAACTCTCTACCAGTGATGGAGGCCGTCTGAAACAACACAGCAGGTCCTGGGGTGGCTGCGTATTTGTTAACCTCCACACACCCACCACTACAGTCCACTGCAGAACTGAAAAGCGCAGCACAGCTGCCATCCCACAAAAGCAGGGGCTGTACAAATCCCTGGCCACGTTCTCATTCCGCTCCTGTCCTCCACTGCGGAAATATGGGGAGTGGGCAGCTGTCAAACCGGCTACGCAAAGCCTATGCCAACCCATCTCCTTCCCTACTCCCCACCCCCCTCCACAGCGCCACATCCAGAAAGGAGCAGCTGCTGTAGCAGCCAGGTGAAAGAATGGCTGCCATCTCTTCCAGGCAGAGACTGCACAACCCCCTCCCCGCTGGCCACCCTACCAGAAGCGGAGGCTGCTGTCACCCTGCTGCGTCTGCGCACCCTGTACCCTTCCCAACTATGGCACTTTGGGGAGGGGGGCAGCCACCCACTCTAGCCAGCCTCCTCTTCTCGCCACTGCACCTTGGAGAGGGTGTGGCTCAAATTCTTGGCAGACCAACACAGAGCCCCCCTCCCCACCTGCAGCTTTGTGGGGAGGGGGCGACTGCCCCCACACTGCCACGCCTGCGCAGACCTTTGCTGCTGCAGTGGCGGCCATCTTTGGGGTGCCGCACAATGGCTGTGACGCGGAACGGACCCCTGTACTAAACCCAAAAAGCCTTCAAACACCCAATTCTCAACGCAGGGGAAAACAAGAGCCCTCTCCACCATCACTTCGCATTTCTGTCAGGAGATCCATAAAAGTAACGTCTGCACATCATTTCCCTATTTTATACCATAGTGAGGAATCATAAAGGCGTAGAAAATACAAAAAACCAAATATTTACATTGCTTCATTGTAGGTGTTGGACAGCTTAAAAAAAAAAAAAAACACAATCGCCACAATATGCAAACTTGACGGCCACTGCAGGTCAGAAAAATTAACGTTCTCATTTTTCTTTAAATTAAAAGCTGTGGACTGCACTACTGCCTCTCCACCGACCCCTCCCCACCACAGCTATCATTCCGCTGCCCTCTCGGACACCCCACAGGCCCCACCATCACTACCGCCACACGAACTACCCCTCTTCCCGCCGAGGCCACCGCTATGGAAACCCCTGACCACAGTCAGGCCGTCACACCCACGTACTCCTCCAGACCGCTACCACAGCCTCCTCACCGAAGTCACTAGAACAAATCCCCCACCCCCGCGATTACCCGATATACCATCGCCCCACCGCGCAGCGGTCACCCCACTGCCGCCATCACGCCGAAGACCCCTCCCGGCCGCAGTCACCTTGATTTGAAGGGCAAAGATCTACTCGTAAAAGAACCTGTTACAATAGGATGGAACAGATTGGGGGATGTGATGCAAGGTGGACAGAATATCACAGGGTAGAGATGGCAGAGTCCCCAAGTCTCCAAACCCTGTCAGATCTAGTTGTCCGGAACAAAGGACTTTAGGGCCCCGAATTCCCTCTTTACACAATACTCTAAAACCTGAAAACTTGGAATATCTGATGAACAAAAATGACCGCTCCCCAGGTTATCTTTTCAGAAAAGCCACCACACAGCTGACCTTGCTCGCTCCATCGCGTCACTGACCGATCCTCAGGGTGAGGCGTCAGGCATCTCCTGCGGCAACACGGCTCTGCGCAGGAGTCGCCGCCGCAAAAGCAGACTTAGCACTTGCTCCAACCACGCATGTGCGCCAGGCCTCACCTACGGCCGCGCACGCGCGGTGGTTTGCCGCAGTGCAGGGGGCCCAGCGTCCGCTCTGACCGGAATGACCTGGTGGTAGGGGACTACTGGACCCCTAGTACTGGCATGTAGAGTGAGGGACTCCAGAAACCACCAGCAACTGGAGGTCAATGTACGCAGCCCCTTATTTTTAAATACATGTAAGATATTTAGGAAATACTTCTTATTAATAGTTCCCCAAGAAATTTTTGCAGGTGTCACTGGCCAAGCAATCCTGATATACAATCACCTTTTGGTCTTCCTAAATGCGATATGGAAAAGCTGGATTATGAAAGTTTAATTTGATCGAAACCACAGTCAATGCAAATATGCCAGATACTTGAAATCCTTCCAGGAGAAAATATCCCTAAGATGATACATTGTTGAAATTTGGTGGGATTTATTTTCCCATTTTCTACTTTCTATCGTTTTATGGGGCAAATTGTGAAAATTATTCTCCAAAAGACTATAAGTAAGCCCTCCAAGAAGTCACTAATCATCAGGGAAAATGCAAATTAAAACCACAGTGAGATAACACCTTACCCTATGTAGAATGGCTTTTATTAAAAAGTCCAAGAACAGCAGATGCTGGCATGGATACAGACAGAAAGGAATGCTTATATACTGTTGGTGGGACTGCAAATTATTACGACCTCTATGGAAAACAGAATGGAGATTCGTCAATGAACTAAAAGTAGACTTACCACTGGATCCAGCAATCCCACTTTTGGGTATCTACTCAAAGGAAAAGACGACTTTTCATTGAAAAGACACCTGCACTTGAATGTTTATTATAGCACAATTCACAATTGCAAAGATGCACAATCAACCCAAGCGTCCATCAATTCATGAGTGGATTAATAAAATGTGGCATATGCATATGATAGAGTACTACTCAGCCATAAAAAAGATTAAACACTATATTTTGCAACAATCTGGATGAAACTGGAGACCATTCTCCTAAGTGAAGTATCTCAAGAATAGAAAAACAAATACCACGTGTACTCGCTATTAAATTGGAACTAACCAAAGAGCACACATTTTCACAGAGGGAAGTAAAACTTCAGTGGAAATTAACCGGGAAGGGGGGGAGGGGAGGGCAGGGTAGCAGAATAAAACAACTCAATGAGTAATATGAAAACTATTTGGGTGACAGGTATACCTACAGTCAGGACTCGAACATTACAAAAACAATTCATGTAATGTAAAACATTTGTATCCCTTTAATACTTTGAAATAAAAAGAAAAGAATTTATATTCAATTAGTAAAATTGGAAATTCAATTACTGTAAAATAAATATATGAAGTTAGATCCCTACCTAAAATCTAAATTGTCTATTAAATTTGGATACATTTAAATTTTTACCAGTAATAGCTAGAGTGGGGGGAAATAGGCACTTTCATACAATACTAATGGACAAACGTATGATTTTTAAGCTAATAATATCCCACCTGCAGATGTAACAAAGGCATTGGTAAATCCAAAACTTAGACATTTGTGTAGCTTGGAAAAATATAATTCCGAGGATAGGAAGCTAAGGAAATAATCTTAAAGTTTCATTTGCATGTTTTTTATATACCTTTGCCCTTTCTCAATTGTCCATTATCAAAGAAGTGGGGGGGGGGGTGGAGGTGGACTAAAAAGTTAAATTCCCTCCTCAAATAATACTATATTAAAACAAATGAGCAGAGGATTATCAATGCAGACTTTTATCATAATAAAATCTTGTAACTAAGGTAATATGCCTTACAAAAACAGGCTAAATTGATTAATGTATATATAAGTAATAAAACACAAGATGGCTGATAGAAAGAATGACCTATTAGACTGAGCCAAATAAAATTATCAATATTCAGTAGTTTTTGATCTATAAAAAGTTGCAATTTCTAATAGTTTTTGGTTACATATTTGTATAAAGTAAATAGGAAGCTGACTCATCATGAGAGTGACCAGCAAAATGTAATGTAAAATTAGGGCTGGGCGCGGTGGCTCACTCCTGTAATCCTAGCACTCTGGGAAGCCGAGGCAGGTGGATTGTTTGAGCTCAGGAGTTTGAAACCAGCCTGAGCAAGAGCGAGACCCCGTCTCTACTAAAAAAACAGAAAGAAAT